ATTACTGTCTCACCGTCTATACTGCAGGCTTGGCATGAATCCCTTTCAGAAGAACCCCAAGCACGCGTCTGTGTTGGCAGAAAGGTATTTCTCTAGTCATGACACATTTGTTACTGTTTGGAAGGATTTCATTCCAGTGTCATCTAAGTTCAGCGAGTTCAGCAAATTGTTGTGCAGTTAGTGTGTTCAGGCATCAGCTGGACATGGCAGTGCGCAGAACCTGCGGGAGAGATGGTGCTTCTCCTGCCGTGGGCTGGGGTGTGCATGGGACGGCCCCTGCCCTGTCTCTGTGTTACAGGGATTGTCCTTGCTGGCCCTCGGTGGGGAAGGACGCTGACACACATGATGAGTGTGCCAGGGCCATGTGGCCAACCACAAGGGGCTTTCTTCCTTGTACCCCACCTCTCAGGCACTGATTTTGTTAGCCATATCTTAAGAACACATCATGTTTAGGGGTGTGTGTACTTGCCCTGAAGTTCTACAGGGGAAAAGAGGAATGGATGAATGGATGGGTAGAGAAGTGGGTAGATGCAAGAAAGCAAATGGGGTAAGAATTGGATGGCGAAACCCCGGTGTGGAACCTTAGTGCCAGGCACATGGGTGTCTGCTGTGTTTCTGACTGTCCGACTCTTCCCATAAATGTTGGAAATGCTGGGATGAAATGGTGTGCATCCGGTTTAGGCACTGTTGTCACACAGTGGCGGATTTGGGACGCTTCCTTGTTCTGTGGCTCCCTTTCCACACAGTGGTGGAGTGATCCTTGTCAGAGGGAGTTGGCCCAGGGCCCATCTCCTCAAGCCCCCAGGACTCCCTCCTGCCCATGCTCTGAGTCGCCTGACCCTGGCTTTCGGCCCCTTGGTGCTCCCTGGGTGTGCTGGCAGCCGCGCCTCAGGCCTTCACTTAACCGCCCTCGTGAGATGTTTTCAGAGCATACTGTTGAGAATTGCAGCCCTACCCTGCTGTTTTCCTTCATAGCAGTCAGTATACGTCTTCAGACCTACTGCACGTTTTACCTGTTTGTTGTCTGATGTGAGTGCTATGATTGTTGGGACTCTAGTGTCTGGGAGCACAGACCAGGCGTTTGATTTATGTTGTTGATTAAATGAAGAGTTAATTCACCCAACTAATATTTATGGACCTGCTGCGGGCCTGCACGGCATGGAGCCTGGGCATTCCCAGGGGAGCGAGACAGGCTCAGTCCCGCCCTCCCTTTGCCTCACTGGAGGGCGTCCTCACAGAATGAACAGAGAGTGATTTTCCTGAGTACAGTGCAGACACATGAGGTGGGCTGTGCGTTTTGGGGGCTGCCACCAGTTACCCTGGGGATGTGTTCAGAGATACTTCTCCCGGAGCGTGGGAGAGCTCGGCCTCAAGGAAGAGGACTCGGCGCCAGGCTGAGGACAAGGTCCAGGTGGCTCGATCTCCTGCAGGGCACGTCGGGCACCTTGCTTTATGCCCTCGTCTCTTGGGCTGGGCTGGAGCTGCCCCAGCACCTGGCAGCATGGGGTTTCTAGGGTACTTGGTACTTGTCCATCTTAAAATTTGCCTATATGTTTTTAACCTTTGCGTCTGTCTTTCAGTGGAATCAACTATGACAAGCCACTGCCTCCCATCCAGGTGGCATCTCTCCGTGCAGAGCGAATCGCAAAAGAGAAAAAGGTCAGCGCCCTGGGCCCTTCTGCTTGAGTGGGAAAATGTGGTGGCTATGACTTCATCCAGGGGGTGTGCAGGCCGGGTCC